TTGAATATTGGCATGGGAATTGTCACGGTTCTGTATGTAACATTAGCTACCTTAGGATATATGTGTTTCCGTGATGAAATCAAAGGCAGCATAACTTTAAATCTTCCCCAAGATGTATGGTAGGTAAAGATGAGTTTGTTAACCTAGTTTGTATATTTTATTGATATAATTTACCAATCTTTCATGATAAAAGTGTATTCTTGATTTTATGATGTAAACATTTTACTGTGATTTCTTTATTTGTGTAATCTAGATTTTTTTTCATAATCTTCAGAGAGCATCTATGATTTTACAGATTCTTGTAGGATATTTTTATAAGATTAAAAATTGTAGGGCGTTCCAGATTTGAGTAACATGTTAGGAGCAGAACATAGACTCTTTTAATACGGACTCACTTTAATAAAAAATTTAATAGTTATCCTTGCTGTCAAAAAATCCAACACTCTGGGCTCTGGATACAATGGCACAGCCCATCACTTGTAGCCCTCACTATTTTACTGGTCAGCTTTACCAGTGTATGTGCCCCAAGTCCTGTCTGCACACAGTTAGGACACATTATACAGCTGACCCTTGAACAACATGGGTGTGAACTGCATGGGTCCACTTACATGTGGATTTTTTTCAATAAACATATTTGAAAATGTTGGGATTTGCAACAATTGGAAAAACCTCAGACAAACTATGCAGCCTAGAAATAGCAAAAAAATTAAAGTCAGGCACATCATGAATGTATAAAATACACATACCTACAGAATATGTAGTAATCGGCTATCTGTGCTATCAGTAAGGCTTCCAGTCAACAGTAGGCGCTTAGCAGTTAAGTTTTGGGAGAACCAAAAGTTATGTGCGAATTTTCAACTGTGCAGGGTTGGCACCCCAACCCCTACATTGGTCAGGGGTCAGCTGTAAATGAATGAGATAATATAGTGCATCTTAATATTTTCTTTAATATTAGAACCATATTCTGCTAAATGAAGCAATATATAGGGTTTTTCCTTCTTCCAGAGATTGGTCTTCGGAGATTTAAAAAAGATATTGGCAATGGTTATGATGCAGACTTGCTCCCTTATTTATGAAGTGGGAA